TTCAATTATAACAGAATATTTCAATAGATGATAGTACCTAAACAATATAGCATCAAAAAGGGCGATTTATTTGTCGGTTTTAGGGTAATTTAGACATTGGATTCATGCGCATTTCTATCAATATTTGTTCAAGGACATATATATACTAAGTGACATATAAATCCGAACATCCAGTTTAAATGGTTTTATTTTAATAAAAGTTGGTGAATGTATTTATCTTACTATAAATAACAAGTGAAAAATTTTTCAGCCTTATCAGTTGGACATTCCGGTTTTTATACTGCTTATTTTTAATTCACTAACGCTCTAAAAATGAATATTTCAGCCGCAGTAAAGAATCAACGTTGGCGGATTTTGTTTCTTGACATCCTTTACGATCCGTTACGATGCCTAGAGTACGGAGACCTGTACGATTTCGTCAACTTAGTGAGTTTGATAGGGGCCGTATAGTAGGACTTCGGGAAGCTGAACTTTCTTTTCGGGCAATTGCAGTTAGAGTGCAAAGAAGTGTAGACACTGTGGTTAGGTGTTGTCAGGCATGGCTTCGAGAAGGCCGTACGCAAAGAGCAAGGGGCACTGGACGCCGCCGTAGAACAACAGACAGTGAAGATCGCCGCCTAAGATTATTGGCCTTAAGGGACCGTTTCTCCACTACCAGGTCCATTGCAAATGAATGGTTTGCAGAACACGGAAGACCTATTGGCATGCGAAGTGTTTACCGACGAATGAGAAGTTTTGGCTTGTTTTCATACCGGCCACACTGGGTCCTCCCTTTAACTCGAGAACACCGACCTGATTTTGTTTAGGCATGCACGATGGTCGTGCCAGGGTTAGAAGGTGACGTGGTGAAAGGAGGAATCCACAGTTTTTTGTTGAAAGACATGTTCATCACACTGTTGGAGTTATGGTTTGGGGTGCTATGGCTTATGGTTCCAGGTCACCTTTAATCTTCATCAGAGGTAACATGAACACGCAGCGTTATATCCACGAAGATCTAGAACCCCATCTTTTACCCTATCTTGACACCCTGGCAGATCCAACTTTCCAATAAGATAATGCCCGACCACATGTTGCAAGAGTCACAATAGACCTCTTTCAACATAATGATGTCACATTGTTACCATGGCCACCAAGATCTCCCGATTTATCCCCAATTGAGCACATGTGGGATATGATGGGTAGGAGATTGCTCAATTTGTAATGTCCTCCTCAGACTGTAGAAGCACTTCGAGAGGAGTTGGTGGTTGCCTGGAATGAGATACCACAGGAGGACATTGACCACCTGCTCAGAAGCATGCCTAGGCGCGTTGGAGAATGCGTAGCACATCAGGGTGCATCCACACGTTATTAAAGGTCAAAGGGCTTTAAAGCAGTGCAATCATTTTGAAATTTTTATCATTTACTTATTATGCTTCATTAAGTACTTATACAAAATTTTATTAAAATAAAACCATTTAAACTGGGTGTTCGGATTTATATGTCACTTAGTGTATTATGTATAGTAGTATAGTTTGGCTTCACTTTTTCATGAAATTGCTATCTTATATTTGAACGCTCCCAGGAAGCTACGTCACTGTTTGCTAGTTAAACATATTACAGCAACCAGACGGAAATCGTGATTGGTACAATTCAGCTTCCCATGGCTGCCTCCGGTTTATCTAAATGTTCGCCTCGATAACAATGGAGCTAGTCTATTCAAATAAATAGAAAACCTGCATCAGTCGGCGCTGTTCTATCTGCGTATAGAGAATTGGGTCGACAACGAATAGCGGTGCTACCTCTCGATCCGTTGGCTTCCATTTTTTGATAATTGCGAATAATATAATTTAGAAAGAATGTATACAAGTAAATTTCATTTGTTAGCGTTGAAACTGTGGCTGGTATGCGCTACGACTGTTTAAATGCAGTTGATTGAAACATTGCATCCGAAAATGGCATATCCAAACTGAAAATACGTAGTCATGCCATAAGTTCTGTCCCTCGTTTTCAAACAAGTGTAGACCTGTTAATACTTGTCCGATTGTTTACATTGTGGTGTCAGTTGATTAAGCGCTTTTCGGGTAATTACATATACCTCAGTTTGTATTGATCTCTCGAAGCATAACGATGGAGTGGGGCAAGGCAGAGAACCGTATTGCAGTGATAGCTTTACATAAGTGTAATCACAGTGCTAGTCAGATTTTTGAACTCTTACGCGGCCTTCAAACATAGCGTAAATTTGTGTCTAGGACCATTCAGCGGTACAATGAGACGTCCTCTGTTGATGACAGGCCAAGAAGCGGAAGACCTCGTCAAGTAAGGACTCCAGCAGCCATCAAAGCCGTAAAAGCCAGGATTCAAATGAATCCACTCCGGAAGCAGAAGATCCTATCCAGGGAAATGAAGATTTCTGTCCGGACGATGTCGCGCATCATTAAACAAGACCTAGGGCTAGGGGCTTACCGGAGACGTACGGGCCAGCGACTTACGGCCACCTTGCGACACATCAGGGCGACAAGATCCAAGAAGCTCTTGGAGAGGTACGCAGCTGGGGGATTCCGAAAGATTTTGTTCACGGATGAGAAAATCTTCACCATAGAAGAAAAATTCAACCGACAAAATGACAAAGTGTATGCAAGGAGTTCACAGGAAGCTTCGGAGATCATTCCGAGAGTTGAGAGAGGCCACCACCCTGCGTCAGTCATGGTTTGGTGGGGGGTGTCCTACGAAGGGGTCACTCAGCTCCATTTCTGTAAACAGGGCGTGAAAACAAAAGCGGCAAACTATCAGAGCGACATACTGGATCCTATCGTCAAGCCTTTAAGTGGTACATTGTTTGCCAACCAACACTGGGTCTACCAGCAGGATTCCGCCCCCGCTCACAAGGCTAAGAGTACGCAGCGCTGGCTGGAAAGCAATGTGCCAGAGTTCATTGCTGCGGAAGATTGGCCCTCAGGGAGTCCGGACCTCAATCCTTTAGACTACAAGTTGTGGGACCTGCTAGAGCAGTTGGCCTGCTCCAAAGCCCACCGTAATATCGAGTCCCTGAAAGCGGATTTGATCCGATCAGCGGCAGCTATTCCTTTGGAAGCTGTGCGTGCAGTGATAGATGAGTGGCCCGCGAGATTGAAGCAGTGTGTGAAGGCCAAGGGGGGACATTTTGAATAAAACTGTTTGATTATGAATTCTAAAAATGTTGTCGAATAAATAATATCTTTCATATAAATATATCTTATCTTGTTTCATTTTTATCATGAGATTATCATGGGACAGAACTTATGGCACGACTACGTAATAGTGAAATCCTTCACGTTGAGACCGCACCTGTGATCAGCGGTATAAGTAGCAACTGACGTGTCTGTATGATGAAGCAAACGTCCAATCGACCGAATCGTTCCATTTCCTGTTAATTTCGGCATTCGATCCAACATTAAATTAGATATTTGATGGAGTAACATGACAGCTCATAAGGCGGACGTTTCCGTCATAGGAGCGTGTCACAGGCTTTCCCAGCGGATACGTCTGGATGTGTCGCTTTCCACACGAATCATCGAAAATGTTCATTACGATAGAATATCTAATCGAATCTATAGTTACATTATTAAAAGGATTCCTGACGCACTGGTACAGTCTGCGAAAACCAAACAAGCTGAAAAGCCGCTTGGAAATTAGGTAATCTCAAAATGATCTTCGGAGTGTTGTGAAGAGATGTTAAAATTTATAATTTTTGTTCTAGAGCATTGAATTTAATTTAATTATTTAAAAAAAATGTTCAAACTAATCTAGGTTTATTCAATACTTGAGGATTCGCTTAAAAATTACAGTTTTTAACGTGGGCAAGAGTATCAAATAAAGTTAAACCTTGCTCTACAAACCACTGAATTTTGGGATTAGCTTATTTTGAAGCGATTTCAACCTTGTCTTTCAGGCAAACTTCCCATTTTCGCAGACTTCGTCACAAATAACCAAGGGTGTTTCTGTCTAAAAATATGTCCAGTGCCAACGGAGACAGCGACAGAAAAAAATAAAAATCGTTCAAACTTCTCCTTTGACTCCTGTAGAGTTCTTAAAAAATTGTTGGTAATATAAATTTGGGGGTATATTTATTTAGATATTCCTAATACGTCTCCTCTGTATTTCGAAGCAAAGTACATGTGCTACTTCGCATAGGTGTATCCTTCTCAACTAAAGGTTGTAAACTCCGTGCACATGCAGCTCCAACAAAGTACTCAGTCTAAACACGTTGCAGCACGGCTCACTGCCATCTTCAAATCCCGTACAGTTGCTGCAGTTTACTTGGCATCGAGCCGTTATTCCTGCTAGTCGACATTCATTATACAACGAACACAGACTTAAACAGCTGGTGATATTCTGCTGCGACGGGCCATTCAATCTCCTCCACCGGATGCGAGACAAATTCGACGGTCATATTCTAGCGAGCTATGAGCCGTTGTAATCATGGCATCCGGCGACCTATCAGAGCACGCTCTGATGCGGTTCGGTTTCGGTTTCGACCGCAGGGAGGGCGGAATATTATTAAGGATCGCGAGTCAGATTCGAAGGACGGTCGCCGTTACCCGTTCTGGCCGAGATAAAATTCTGTACCCCATAGCCGTTATCGCCTAGAGTACTGGACTGCGAAAAGCCCGCAGAGTAGGCCTATGCATGTTCTTATGGAGTTTCGCGATGACTGGCTGGCAAGAGAACCGCGCCACCATTTCTCTGCGGTGTTGTCATATCTAGATTTGATATAGCAGTATCTCTATCTGCCTCAGTATGTCAAGAATACATTTTCGATGTTACGTTCAATCTGTCACTTGTGAAGTCTAATATTCCATTCAAAATTGGAATATGTGGCAACCTTGCCAACTAACCTCACATTCTGAGCCTCTATTCTATGCTATATAAACTCACATTTATTGATGTTTTAAACTTATATTTGTGTCTCGCGATTGTTTAGCTAAGTTTTCAAAATGCCTCGCAAGTGCTGCGTTCCTAATTGTGTCGGTGATTACGGGAAGGTGCACGTATTTCCGTTTCCATTGAATGAAAACTATCGTAAAAGATGGCTTAATGCAATCCCTCGTAGTGATTTGGTGGTTACAAAAAACACCCGAGTATGCAATTTGCACTTTGCTGAGGACAGCATCATTTGGGAATCCACCTTCCATGACTAAAAGTCAGGTTGGACCTTTACTGTACCGCTTAAGTATCCAAAATTAAAGGCAGATGTAATTCCAAGTATCTTTGCAAATTGTTCAAAATACTTTTCAAAGGACATATCAAGCGGAAGAAGCCGAGATGAGAAATTGAGGGACAAGGAACAACTACTTAAAGCACTGCAAACCAGCATTAATGATTATTCCTCCTATCAAAAATCAACTTGTTTTCAAAATTATTCAGACTTTTATATATATATATATATATATATATATATATGTATATACAGGGTGACTTCGAAGTTGAGTCATTTATTTTAACAGTGAGTAGATCTGATCAAAAGAAATGTTTTTTTCCTTTACCATTTTTCTGGTGAAATTAAAGTAACAAAGTTATAGCCCTTTGGAAGTTTGAGTACCGCCCTCTCTCAATAATAATATTATGTGCTCGTGTTTGGCGACAACGGATATAATCCGCCTTATCGGTTCATCGCATCGGAAACAAAAAAGCGAAAGAATTTGGAACGATGTTTTTACAATTATTTTATTCATTTGTATACAGTCGGTGTCAGTCGGTAACGCGTGAGTGAATAGTGGTGTCTGCTGCGTGGCTCAAACGAAATAAAAAATGGCACATGTTTATGCGGATCGGTTTCCCAATCGAGTGCAACCAACCCCTCGTGCCTTTGTTAATGTAGTACAACGGGCTCGTGAATCAGGTGACGGCATACCAGTGCTCCAAGACCTCACGATCAAATACAGGTCCGCACTGAAATACTTGTCGGGAGGATACTTTATAAAACAAGGTAGATTTTTTTTTATTTTTACACACATATTTTGGTTTATCTTCCTTCTACAATCATTATCTGAAAATTAATGACTCAACTTCAAAGTCACCCTGTATATATTATTCTGTAGCGCTGATGCACGGCACGCCGTGCTGTCGGCCGGCCGACTGGCCTACTCGTGGTGACGTCACGCGTCTGTTGTCAGGCCTGAATTTTCATTTGCTACTTGCAGCGTCCATCAATATGTAATAATAAGGAAGCTACGACTTTTTAACTCATTTCAAGTCGCGTATAATACAATACAACAAAAATATTTTAAATTCAATTATCTCAAAACTAATTATTTGGCTCTGAAGTACAGAATTATGTAAGTTAAAAATGGTAATATGAGTAATAATTGGAAGGGAATAATTCCTGGAGAGGCTGAACGTGCAAAGAACGAATGAGTTGTTCAATTAAATTCCGATCAACAGTGCTTTTTTAAGCTTGTCGTCAAAAATAATCAGACACTGTCATGACATCCGACATTTCCATCAAGACTTTAACATTTGACGAAATAAGGATGCTTTTTGGAACCAACTCCGAAAACTATGCGAAATGGTGTGGATACAAAATGAAGATTCTTCTAAATAAAAGAAAGTTGTGAAAAGAGATATTTTAGAGAGCGGTTCCTTGCTGAAAATATATGAAAAAAGTTTTTATGAATATGGGTCCGCAAATGAAGTGTTTTTAAAATGCAAGCTGATGAATTTAAAAAAAAATATTTATATTTTTAATAATATCTTAAATAATATTTACTAGATTCTGTTGAAATTTGGCAATAGTATTTGCTGTATTAAGAGGCTGATTAAGCCCTAAATAGATTAAAATTATTAGGTGCAGTGGCGTCCCGGGGGCACCTTAGCGAATCTTATTGGCAAACAAATGTACGCCACTGCTTTTTTGTAACTTTAATATTTGTTGATTGATCTAAAAATACAACTTCTTTGCCTCTTGTATTTTTTTGCGTATCGCACTTCGTTTTCGAGAGAAAAAATAAAAACCGTTTCATTGCACGTCACTGGACAATATTGGTTTATTAATTTTTGTTAAAGTGCCTTGGATGGTTATAAATTTAAGCCAACGATTGCTCGAAAATGATTTTGCTAAACATTTTTTTAAATTCAAAGCTTTAGTATCAGAGGGTAAATCATTGTACATGATAGTAGCATTATAAGTAAAAAATAGAATAACCAATTTACAAATTGGCTATATTCTTTATAGAATTGCAGAGTTCGACAGCTAGGATGGAAATTAAGATCAGTCTCCTTAATTTCCTCTCCAGTTGCCGACATGTGCGTGTGAAATTCAGAATTTTCCTCCACTACAACATCGCAAACTAAAATGAACTGTCGTTCGTCGAACGAAAACTTTCCAGAAATCAATTAACAAGTTGTTCGGCATAAAAGAGAGCCGTGCATTTTAATATAGCAGAATTATCAGCAGGCAACTTATAAACTTCTCCTCTCCGTATCGCCTTTATTACTTCCCAGCGAAGTTTTATTGATTGAAGAATATTACAAGGTATAGATGATGATACCAGAGGCGCTTCTGGCTAATATCGAGGAGTCGCTCGATGCTCTCAGAATTGAAGTCATTAAAATTCGTAATGGAGGTGAAAATTTGAAGTTCTCTTGAACATTTATTTGTGGATCACGAGCTATCGAATAGGACGACCCGTTCCACGTATTACTAACCAAACTTCGATGAATAAATTAACCTTAAGTTGAAAATGTACGGATACCTTTTCCATATTCTATAGGAGTTTAATGTATATTAAGAATGTTCTGCTCCAATAAGCATGAAGTGTTAAAATGGATAAGAAGAAAATAATAGGACCAAAAATACACGTAAGAGATTTTCCAACTTAAATTGAGCCAACTTTGATTCCTATAGAACGAGAAAGAACAGTATTGTTTATGGCACTATATTCACACGAATTGTTTGGAAAAATGGTATAAATATCCTAGCTGGACTTTCTTTTCGGGCAATTGCAGTTAGAGTGCAAAGAAGTGTAGACACTGTGGTTAGGTGTTGTCAGGCATGGCTTCGAGAAGGCCGTACGCAAAGAACATGTGGCACTGGACGCCGCCGTAGAACAACAGACCGTGAAGATCGCCGCCTAAGATTATTGGCCTTAAGGGACCGTTTCTCCACTACCAGATCCATTGCAAATGAATGGTTTGCAGAACACGGAAGACCTATTGGCATGCGAAGTGTTTACCGACGAATGAGAAGTTTTGGCTTGTTTTCATACCGGCCACACTGGGTCCTCCCTTTAACTCGAGAACACCGACGTAATCGCCTTGAGTGGTGCAGACAACGGTCACTCTGGGATCAGGAATGGAACAGTATTGCCTTTAGTGACGAGTATCGATTTTGTTTAGGGATGCACGATGGTCGTGCCAGGGTTAGAAGGCGGCGTGGTGAAAGGAGGAATCCACAGTTTTTTGTTGAAAGACATGTTCATCACACTGTTGGAGTTATGGTTTGGGGTGCTATAGCTTATGGTTCCAGGTCACCTTTAATCTTCATCAGAGGTAACATGAACGCGCAGCGTTATATCCACGAAGTTCTAGAACCCCATCTTTTACCCTATCTTGACACCCTGGCAGATCCAACTTTCCAACAAGATAATGCCCGACCACATGTTGCAAGAGTCACAATAGACTTCTTTCAACATAATGATGTCACATTGTTACCATGGCCACCAAGATCTCCCGACTTATCCCCAATTGAGCACGTGTGGGATATGATGGGTAGGAGATTGCTCAATTTGCAACGTTCTCCTCAGACTCTAGAAGCACTTCGAGAGGAGTTGGTGGTTGCCTGGAATGAGATACTACAGGAGGACATTGACCACCTGATCAGAGGCATGCCTAGGCGCGTTGGAGAATGCGTAGCACATCAGGGTGCATCCACACATTATTAAAGGTCAAAGGGCTTTAAAGCAGTGCAATCATTTTGAAATTTTTATCATTTACTTATTATGCTTCATTAAGTACTTATACAAAATTTTATTAAAATAAAACCATTTAAACTGGGTGTTCGGATTCATATCTCACTTAGTATATGTTTCACTGTTTCATCTTTACAAATAATTATAACAGTTACAAACTACCGTTCTATACTTCTTCCAGAGTTCCAGAGGTGCTTTATTTATAGTAAAGCCACTCGACACAGGTCGAACCGTCTATATTTTACGACCAAATTATCAGATACCTGGTATCTGTCATGTCTCTACAAAAAACGTAGGAACACCCTACGTCCTATCTGAACGTAAGTGCTTATAGCCCCAAAAATGCAAGTTAGCTGCTTATCTAATCTGACGCGCTTGGTTTTATGAAGATTAATCGGCCCTCTAAGTCTGTCCTAAGCAGAGTATTCGTCGGATAGCGTCACAGAAGGAAGTTACAAGAAACTATTGGTGGCGTTATCGCGGAACGTAGGAGCGTGTTTTATCAACGGTTCTAATGATCTCCCAGCTTAAGGTCGATTGAGCCGTCGTAGCAAGGCGCAGCCTATATTGCCTCCTTCCCCATTCGCATCGAGTTTGAATCCACCTTCAGGAAGTTTAATAGGTTTTCGTCGTTACAGCGTTACATACGTGGTATGTGAGAGAAAATTACATTTTACGTGGTTACGGCTTTGCTTAATTAGATGCGTCAAGCATATGCTTGGAAACCTCCCATTCCCTTCAAAGGATTATGCCAAAAAAGTTTGGGTTACAAATGAAATGTCATTTATAGAGAACTTTTCCCATGAAGCAGTCTTAGAAAATCCCGTTCTAAATCCGCTCGTCACATTTCTCAGCGAGCCGAGCCGTTTCCTCGCACGCTGACCCTCGGAACTGCTCGAAACGGAACGTCATAAACATTTTCCAGGCGGTTACCAGCGCGCAGCGCCGCAAAAGCCCCGAACGGAGAATAAAAGACGACCGACGACCGCCCCAGAGCAGCCAAATCAAGTTAGCCGCTGGTTTGCGACGCGCGGCCATCTTTACGGTCTTCTTCAAGAAAATCTACACTAACGATGCTTCGTTTTTTGACTAAGTGCACGAATCACCCACAATAGTACATTAGATACTGTTCCGTGCAAGTCCGTGCACACATTTTTTGCGCCAGGTGACAACCGGCAACATCGCAAGAAAGTCTGAAATCTGAAACGAACGCCGACCGAGAGAGAACGTCAAGTTTTAACCGCCAGAATTTGCGACTGGCATTGCGGCGTTGTCAGATTTTATTTTACTTCGCTTTTCTCTGAAAAAATGCCGTTTTGACACCTATATTATATGAAACTTTTTACTTCTTTTAACCCCATTTAAATAATGACTATCATAACGTTTACACCCTGTATAAGACATTTCAGAAAGACGTGTCAATATTTCAAGGGTAGAAAAAACCTCTTGATGCAACTCATTCTTTATCTCCAAAAGTATCCGAGATGGCGTGTTTTTATAAAAGACAAAAATGAAAACAATAAAAGAATCTGCTAAATAAAAAAAACAGGGTCATCGGCAAAGTTTCAAAAAAATTGTCTGTGAAGAAAAGT